TCCTGCAAGCTTTTGCTGTGACTGCGTGGGCTACTTTGAGGGGCGCTGTAGCCCTACACCTTATCCCCTAAACTAAAACCTAAAGTGCTTGGATTTAGAATGGCGAAGGCTCAAGCACCCAGCGGCAGGAGCAAGACCTGCAATGCAGGCCCATGCAAACACAAAAATCTACACCAATGTAGTTCAGACTTGATGCATTTCCCACGGCTGCTGCAAAGACACACCTTACCGATTTCTTCCTTTTGAACTATACGTTTAGCTGAAGGATTTCCCTTGGGGTGCAGCTGCATACCCTGCAAGCCTTTTCCTTGCTTCTGGAAAGATCCTTGTAGTTGTCCCTGTGTCTGCATGAATCCCCCCCGCCAAAAAAAGCATTCCTTCATGCTCTACTATCCTGGAGTAAATTCAGAAGGGCACTCCACCATCTCTTCAGCGCCAAAGAAGGAGGCCAAGCCCAGCGGCGTGGTGCTGATCTCTGCGAAAAAACTGGCCAAACCCGGTGGGTCCTCCATCAGACGTAAGATGGTAGCTTCCAGAAGTAAAGGTCCCTCATACCAAAACAAGTGTTAGTCATGTCACAAGACTCCGCCAAGAACGGGAGGAAACCACCAGAAAAGCGGCTGCTGCACTGAACCGACCAACCTTTACAAAAGCCGCATTAGATGCAGCTTGGCGTAGATGATGCTTGCATCTGTGTTATCGGGCTTCTCGTGCTTTGGGTATACTTGCTGGGCCCCTTCTCCTCATGGTAGTAATAACGAGGTAGTTTCCGACGTTGAAACAATCGTGAGCTTCTTCTCGCCTCTCCTATATCCCCGATCGTGCGCCGCGCGGCCTTTGTTTTACAAAGACGGCCATGCTAGCAGCCTCCCGAACTACTTGTGGAGCTTCAGTAAATTACAACCCAATTATAACAAGCACATATAACCAAAGTATTACCATGTTTATGATGAATTTGATTAGGGACCGTAAATAAAAGTAGGTTGTAAACCCTCTCTCACTCTCTCTCTCTCTCTCTCTCTCTCTCTGACGTTCTCAGGTTGTAAACCCTAAATACCAAAACACTGTACTTGCCCCAGGTCCTTGCTGCACTGCACATAGACGCGGCAGCACATCGCAAGTGCCCGAAAAATGCCCGAGGGGGCGCCAAGTTTGTTTACATCCTTGTGTCTGAAACATGGGGTTTAGGGCTCAGCAGGATTACATAGGGATTATGTATGAATTATATAAGGATTATATAGGTATATATAAAGACATATAGAGAAATGGAAAACATGGAAACTACAAGTACTACATTAAGGGGATTATCTTGCCATACCTTGGGTCCTGCCCCCTTCCACTAACAGTTTATATGCGGGGGCCATATTAAGGGCTCCATATAACTATGTTATAAATATTATCCAACTGTTCGTGAGCAGGGGCAGTATCCTATCCATACCTTAGTTGGACCCCCCGCCCAGCCATAGTGACGACAAGGGATGATAACGATCATATTGGGATCCTCTTATATCCCTACTATACCACTATAACACGGCGGGGGGGGGGGGGGTCCTACTAATCTACACCCAAGGTGGCACGCCTGTTATTTGTCCCTCTACCTCTCTGAAACGCTCACCGAAGCCTCAACCCCGAAGCCTAAGCAACAAAAGGTTGATTGCTGTTAAGGAACTTAAAGTAAGGTACAATGATAAGCAACCCCGTGATTCACTATATTCCCATATTATGGTAATTTGTGGTAACTTAAGGTAAGTTCCTTAACAGCAAGCAAGAAACACCTGGAAAATCCTAACAATCACATGAGTTAGTGATTCTATGCGCCTAGGATCTTCAGGTTTCAGAAGTATTTCCACAGATTTGGAAGATGCCCAGAACAACCCACACAAAACGAGCACAATCCGGGAGCATCTAGCAAATCCTAGAAGAATGTTTAAAGCACCTAAAGAGACCGTGAAGAATAAAGAAGAACTAAAAAAAGCTTGTAAAATCTGATATATGAGCCATAATGTAAACTCCTTAAAGGCCTTATATAGAGGATTATATAGGGAAGAATTATTGGGGCTATTGAGGGGGATACAAGGAGTTTAGACTATAATCCCTATCATCCCCTATAAAATCCCAGTTTCCATTTCATTTTCCATTTTCTTTGTGATTCCCCAGTATTGGTGGTGATCTGCCAAAAAGGGCCCATAATTTCTAGAACAAGCCAACTGCAGCAAAGCTGCGGCCCTGCCTTCCAGCAAGACTTTGGCGACCTGAACATCATCACCGCGGTTTAGGGTTTAGGCTTTAGGGCTTTAGGCTTTAGGGCTTTAGGGTTTTTAGGGTTTAGGGCTTTCGTCGCAGGAGTTGGGCAACTCGGACTTGATGTGCGCTGTAATCTCTCCCCCTACCTCTAGGAGCCCCCATTTCAAATACAGGTTGGTGCATTTCAGATTTTCCATTTTCGGAAATCAGGGCAGGATTTCATGAAGCAAAGAAAAAAGCTCAGTACATTTTGTGTTAAGCTCAGTAGAGGGGATTTGTCCGCACAAACAACATGCCCCCCCTAATGTCCGTGTGCAAAAGAAACTCTCCGTATTATCAAACAAAACGCAGGTACCCAGCATACGCATTAGCTGAGTGACCTTTCTACGTCATAGCGGGAAAGAGACCAAGAGGTTAGGGCTCTCTTCAAAGCCTCTCTCAGCGTACTTCTCAGTCTTTTTTCCCCTCCCGCTGGGCTGTGACGCAGTCTTTGGGGTTTAGGGGCTTTGGGGTTTAGGGTTCACGCAACGCCGAGGGTTCTCGGATGATCGTAGGTTACTACCACAAAGGAACCCAGACATGCACGATCTCTTGCGAAACGCGGTACTTTCTGCAACTTTTACCCAAAAGCACCTTCTCCCCACACAACGCTCCCCGAGAACCTCTGCCGGAGCGCTTTAGGGTGTAGGGTTTAGGGGCTTTAGGGTTTACATCAGGGTTTCCCAAATTAGGGGTCCTTTGATAGCAGGGGCAAAGTGTGACTGATTTTGATTCAGGCCTCTAGGCCTCTTCGAAAGCACCCTGACCTGAAAGCCTCTAAACCTCGAAGCCTGGAAGCCTTTCCGTGTCTGGCTGCCGGAACGCCTCGGAGCCTCTAAGCCTCAAAACCCCTGAGACTCAAAACTTAGGCGCTTAGGGCTTGGGAAACCCTAAACCCTAAACCCTAATGGGCTTTGAGGCACTTGTAGGCTTTTTTGCTCCAACTCCCTCATGACAAGGTTAGGCTGAGGCATTCAGGGGCTTACAAGCTTAGGCTCTTCTTGGGAGCTTTTAGGCGCTTTACGCGATTTCTGGTGCTTATGAGCCTCTAAGAGCTTCTATGAAGCACCTAAGCCTCTAAGCTCCAAAGCCTCTAAGCTTAGGAGCTTTTAGAGGCTGGACCGAATGAGTAGACCCGTTTTGCACCTGCAATGCCTTTTTCTTGGTGGCCCCAAAACAAGGATACAGAATTTGGGGGTCTGAATTGCGGTCTCCCTCTTCATGGAAACTACCACACGGATTTTCATATAGGGCTTAGGGCCATCTGTGCCACTATGCTACATTACAATGACAAGGAAGCCTCCACCCATGAGCCGCCTGGAGCAGAACTTAGTTGGTCCAACGTAGGCAGCTTAGGAAACATTAGTGTTATCTACAATGCTTGTGATAAGGTTCTGTACGACTGTACCTGGTTGTAACTTGGGGCTTGTCCTTGCCCGTATTTAGTCAAAGTTGCACAACCGACGCACCCGTCCAACAACACACTGTCGCGAAATGCCCGCAATTACCCTTGAGGGTTTAGGGTTTAGGGACAAATTCTGAACATCTTTTCCCGACCAAGAAGGAGAGACCGTGCACCAGTGGAAGGTGAAAACACTGTGCGGTGATTGGGGAAAGGATTGGCCTTGGTAACAATCACATCCTAAAGATACTGGTAACAATAGTACAGTAATGATAATAGTAAGTAGTGATATTACTAGTAGTAGGAGTACATTCCCAAAACAAACCCTGGTCCAAATCTCCAACCTCTGCTCCGTGCGGGTTGCCCTGGAAGAACATGGTCAGAGTATGTAGCGGAGATAGTCCCGTGCCCCCTTTGGCGAGATTGACCTTCAGGAAATGGGAGCTTCGCAAAATTCCTACGAACTCCTCAACAGATAGATATGTATATATAGAATTTTACGGTCCGCGAGGGGCCCCTCTTGTCGGGAAACCTCCCAAAATTAGCCAAACCAGACGCAGAAATGACAAGCGCAAGTTTGATGAAGGGGCTTAAAAAGCACCTTAGGGGGATTCAGGGAAATTTATGGGGGTTTTAAAGGGCTTTGAGGGAGGGACCAGCGTTTGCAAAGCAACTTCCCCTTAACACTGCAAAAAGCCCTGTCAAAAACAATGCTTCCACCACTGGCACTCGAAACAAAGTAACCAGTGGATCTAATGACTCATGGTGGGATGCAGATCCCTCAAGCCTGACAGCCGAGTTCTTGGGTTGGTATCAAGGAACTAATACGGGGTATATTATTGGGGTTATATTGGGATAATGGAAAAGAAAATGGAAACTACTATAGTGTTTAGGGTTTACCTAAACCCCCAAAGTAGGTAAAATAATGGCCCAAACCCCCTAGGGTTTAGGGTTTAGGGTTAAGGAAACGTCGGGCCTCTGCTCGAAGCTCCAGCAATCTTTTTGCAACTGCAGGCGGCGCGCCTTTGAAGCAATATGGGGCTTCTGAGGTTCGAGGGGGGTCCTCATGATCCGCAGGGCTATATACATACATACATATACATATATATATATATAAAGATACATATGCAGATATAGGGGTGACTTTGAAGCATTCTAAAATGGTAATTTCAAGAAACTCCAAAGTCAGCGTCTGAGCAGAACTGCAGCTTCTATAGATGCTCAATGCGCCACAGATCGGCACTAGACGACAAGATGCAGTTCTCAAAATGCCAGTATGTGAGATTTGCGATATATGCGGACTTGCGCACCATCTCTAGGGCGCACCTCGAGCACACACACCAGAAAGTGCAGCTGTTTTCGATGGTGGCTTTAAGATGTTGACGTCCGCTCGGTACCTGGTCTAGTCCACATCTGACTTCTGTGCAAGACAAAAATGCATTATCCAGGAATCCTTTGCTACCCAAGCCACCTTACAAGAAGGTCAACCGACTTTGCAGCTTGGCAATAGCACAAGACAGGGCCACCGTGTCGCTCGCACGCATTGGCATCGCTTCTCAGTTTCAGAAGCTCCTCCAAGACATCCAGACCTCGGGAGCCTCTGATGGCAGCCAGGTGGAGAGCCGTGCACCCTGCCGGCAATGCCATTTCCCATAATGTTGGTAGCTTGATGTCGAGGTCTGCCCGACATGTCACCAGGTGTTGTAGCATGCCAATGTCTCCCGACAAAACAGCACAAGCAACTGCTCCGACACCTTCGCGCTGTTTGGCAGACTTCTCCAGCGAAGCAATATTGAAGCTGGAAGCAAATTCCTCTGGGTTCTGTGGCACAGGCGGGGCGCCAATGAAGTCTTCGTACCTGCCTGCAAGGTACCTGAATACATTGAGGTGCTTGGGTTTTCCGGAAAGCTGCCCCAACTTGGCATCCAACGCTGCTCGCACAATTTGGCAACAGACCTTTCGATCAGCTTCCACAGTGAAATTGCCTTCAGGAACTGGAGAATCCACCCATCTGATGGGCAAGAAAAAGTCCACCTTATCCCCGGCTGAAACCTGGACCAAGCACACATCTGATGTTGAGGACAGGATCTTGCACCACAGCTCAGTCCTGCGCAGCAGCAGCACATGAGCAGAACACACGACACCGGCAACTTGCCAAAGACATGTGGCTTATCATCCGTATCAGAGCTACAAGCAAGAGGTCCTGCACCAACCCCGGGATTGCCAAGAGGGAAAATCACAGAGTTGTCCCAAGTCGTGATGCCTCAGCCTGGGAGTAAGTGCCACAAATACTTCGCAGGCCTCGACATAGCTCGGGATGGACTCAATACACATCGAGCAGAGCTGATCAACCAGTGAGCTGTGCGTGTCACCCGCGACATTTTTCTGTGGCACAGAAAACCTCGGACAATCAATGTGGCTACAGCACCTGCGCAGACCCCTGGAGGCAAATTCCCTCTGCGAAGTTTCCCTAAGTGGCAGAAAGTGCTTGCAATCTCACCTTGCAATCCTGTACATTGACAAGACGCCAGTCCATCCACAAAAAGCCGTGCTCCAGCTTTGCACGCTCAGATTCGGTGAGCCGACGCATGTTCCTGATGAATGCTGCGGATGCAAGAGGCGGTTTATGGGCTTAGGGCCTGGAACCGTCTCAACCAAAAAACAGCGCTCCCCCGGGCGGCAACTTTTGCTTGAGATGTTGGAGGCTCTGATGAAACTGAGACACCACGTCCATCTCCACCTGAAACACGTTGGCCAGAGGGCATCAAGGGTTGCACCAGCAGATAAGATTTCAAAGTTGCACGAACGACTTGTTTTTGAGATATTTTGGGAAAGCCCTCGTCATCAACAACCTCCAATCCTGCCAAAGGATCATTCTTCGATGTTGACTTGTCTTTCCTTGCTGCCTGCTTTCAAACGTTTCCTCATCCACCCTTCTCTTTTCGCTTCTGGTCTCACAACTTACACTGATTTTGTTTGCCTTCTGCACTTCACACGGTTCTTTCCGTGCCTGTTCGCTTTGTTCCACGCAACTGGAGCCACGAGCACAAACCGGGCTTTGCAGCGTTTGCCACTATCTGGAAATGTCAGCTGCTGTAAATGCACGCTTCGGGGCCGGGCAGGTCACTAGCGCACATATGTGCGCACAAGCACGTTGTAGCAGCGCAATGTTGGCACGCAGGATTTCAGGCATGTTTAGTGCAGCGAGTTTATTCCTACAAACAGAGGCGTTCGGGAGCATCTAAATTTACATGGAAACATTCAAACAAATTATTGGATGTGGATTCTGACTTGCTATGTAAAAGCAGAAGCAGCGGCTGGAACTTCTGGACCATCCTGGAGGATTTGTTGGATGAGCAAAGGTAAATGGGCTGGCCCACATGCATGTCAATCGAATTGGAAGCGTGGGAAGTTGCCAACATTTTCTGGGACAGCGTGAAATCAGCGAAGGGCTAGGGATCTAATGCTGGAATTAACATAATTATCTTCGGCAGCCTGGGTGCCATGGAAGTCTTACCTGATGACCTGGACCTGAATGGAAACCCTTGAGAGCATCTGAACAAGCACTGTGAAGCAGGGCCCGGCGCCAGACCTTTTGGCAAGAAACGAATAAGGCGCAAATGCCGGACAGTGACTCATACTACACAGCAAATCATGCGTGGTGGATTTGAAGAACAAAACAAACCTGTGGGCAAACTTAGACAACGTACCCTCAAAATCCCAAGCTTTGTTTTAATTGGAGATGTTTGATGGCCACCGTTTGCCCGGGCTTGGCCTGGGAAACCTTTCGCAGTATGTGCAAATCATACGATGTGCACATGTCTGGGCAGGCCTGAGTGTTTCCGTTGATAATGCCTCGAAGAGCACTTTGCAACCTCTGCTGGGCGTTGCTCAGCTGAATGCGACAATGGCGCTTGGAACATCTTGCCGAAACTGTTAGATTGCCGGGTAGCACGCTCAACTGCTTGCCGTCGGGGTCCGGGTGTTCGAACCCTAGCCACTGGTGAGAGACCTGAGGTGGACCCCCCACCCAGTAATAGTGACTATAAGGGAGAATAGGGATTATATCAGGGTCCTCTTATATTCCTATTATACCACTATTACAGGGTGGGGGGGTCCTCCTAAGGCATCATTGCAACTGTTCTAACAGCTGAAACGTAAAAATAGCACAATATCTTAGGAGGACCCCCCACCCTGTAATAGTGGTATAATAAGAACATAAGAGGACCCTAATACAAGCCCTATTATCCCTTATAGTCACTATTACTGGCTGGGGGGTCCAGCTAAACAATATCCAAGAGCAGGAGTGAACGAGCCTAACAGAAAAACGCAATGGAAAGCAGGTTCTGGTTCCTGGCTCAACCCATACCAGTGGACCAGCTCTCTGTAACAACCCGAACAAACTTTTAAACCCAAAACTGAACCTTGGGCAGCCAGGGCACGAACGCCGTAAAAAAATTGGGCTGATGCTCTACCTCGGCAATGAACTGTCACTGAACCCGTACCAACTTTCGTATATAAACATATAATAAGTAACTGCTACTAAGCGCTTTAACATGTGCTGCGGCAATTGGCCTCAGGATTTTCCCAATGTCCGCTGTCCGCATCTTCTGTTCTCGGGCGTGGTGTAGCATGTTGCAACCGTAGAACTATCATATAGGCTCCGCAAAATTATGCGAGAATCCTCCTCATAGCCGTTGTTGCTTCGGGCACCCTGTCTCTGCTGCAAATGCGAGGAGTTTTATCTGATTGGCGGCGCCCTAAACCCTAAACCCTAACCTGCAGCCAGGCATCCAACAGGCCGGCTTTCTGCAGATCCTGATATGCCATTGGGGCGCCCGTCATCCTCAAGGGTACATTACGCTAACAGTGGAGAATCAAATGGAAAAGAAAATGGGAAATGAAATGAAAACTGAAATTGTATAGGGGTTTAGGGGGATTAGGGTTTCCAACTTACCTTTGGTTGGGTAAGTTGGAGTGCCCTTCATCCTCAACACGTCTGCAATACGAACAACCCACATCGGATGCAGCCGAACATGGCCATTCGCACCTTGGTCACAAGCAGATTTCAAAAAGCATGTGGAGCTTGCCACACCGGCTGGATGGATTGTGAATAGCTCAGTAAAAGAGTAATACTGCTTCAAGGTAACAATACTTATAGTCATGGTTCAGGCAAAGCTCCAGGCAGGTAGTTATCATGCGAGTTAACCTTACAGGAGGCCTTCATTGACCTATGTAGCCCCAAAAGCCATATGTGAGCCTTACATGAGCCTTACATGGGGATACCCACCTGGTAGTTACAGACCTGGGGCGGTCCACCCACCTGGGGTTTGCATAGGTAAAGCTGTGTGCCAGCCAAGCCGCGTGCCACCCGATTTTGTTGAGGCTGTGCTAAGCATGCACCCATGAAGGCATGCGCAGGAAAGAATAAAACACGGAAACGTGGTCTTAAAGTAACTCTCTAAGCGTGCTTTGCAACGGCCGCTTGATAATCAGCTTTCTCCATACATGTGGCTGCGTGCCATTGCACATGAGACGAAGAAATTTGACTCAAGTTCTTTCCCAATGCCTAGGCGTCCCGAGCAAAAATTTGCGCACAGACTGGCATGGCGAGGACCTTGAAACCTGGTCTACTTTCGCAGTTCGGAGCTAAGCGCTTTCTTCCCTACCGCTTGCCAACAACGGAGTGGAAAGCCTCTTGGTTGATCTGATATATACTGGCCATGCTTGCTACGCCTGAACATGCTTTCCTGAAACTGCATGTTGACCCTTCGATGGCACTGGCCGAGCAATTCACAGCCCACCCCCAAAATGCAACTACGTCCCGGTTTGAAGACGCAACAGAAAATTGCACATCCTGCCACCGACATTATTTTTTTGCTCGTAACAAACCAGCACGCAAGCAAATTTATGGAGCGCCCTTTGAGGGTCACACTCCATGCTCTACAGCTCGATCCCAGCTTACCACCCACGGCATGACAAACACTGGGCTTCGGTTTTTGGGTCTTGGAGTCAGGATACCATTTTGGGGGTCCCAATAACAAGGGTTATAGTATTTTTGGGTCTATATCCTGGTCGCCCTATTTAGGGAAACTGCCGTTGACAATGTTCAAAGGATGCATGGCAGCAGCCTGTCAGCCCGGGCTCAAGAATCGCAAAATTGACGTTAAAAGTGGACGATGGCTTGTCATGGAGAAGGGCGCGCCTGCTGAAACGCTGGACTCTTCAAGTCCCTGAGAGTCTTAGAGAAAAGGCTTTCTTTGGATGTAATTAGGGGGGTAGGATAGGAGTCCCAGTCACAGCGTGGGACGTGCGAACTCCTCCGTCATCGCAGTGAACAAATTCACACTTGAGTTCTGTTGATGCCGCCTGATGAAGGCGCAGATTAGTCAAGAAAGATTCGTCCAGGCAGCCGTTGAAGACGCGTTCCTTGATCGACTGTGCTCCGCAAACGGCGTCAAGTGACGCCAGGCAATCAGAAAGCCTGCTCGACAAGCTCCCCATCAAGATCTATGCTCACCTTACCAACCGCTGAGTTAAGGTCATGCAGCTCATCTGGGCTCACCTCGACGAGTTCTCCGTCTTGTCCATCATCTGGGCTGAAGCCAGGTGTCTGTACCAACTGATTCTTCACGTCCTTCAACTGAATAACGTGGCACGAAGGGCTCTCAATCGTGCGTTGGTGACTCTGCCTCCAAGCGAAAAACTGCAATCACAATTGGCAAGCTCAGGATTCACGACTTGAAACATCAATACTGCTTATGCAATGAAGTAGTGAACATTCCTTTCGAAGACTAGACAAACACGATTCCTTCAGTGTTTAACACGCATGTGAGGGTTCTTCTGCTGCTGCTACTGTTGACGACCTTCCCGTACTCCTCCTCACAGATCCTCCTATGCTCGTAAAATTAATTAATACCGACAATTTCAAAAGTAGGCATCATGATGACGAAAAACTAGCAACACTTAATAACGAGATGATGACCCAATGGCTGCTGGCGCATGATGTTGCCAGATCTGTTTAGATTCTGACTACGAGTACCTTTTCCATTTAGCACGCGCCACAAAAACAAACACACACACACACACACACTTCACAGGTGAGCGGCAGAAGTGCGCGGATGCTGTCTTGACGAGCGAGATCAATGGGCCTGCAGAGTTGCGGACCATGCGAAATTCTAATTCGCCAAGTGGCTGCAACTGCCAAAGAGCCTCCTCTCTGGGTATCAGCGCAAGGTCTGTTGCGTGGCACCGGTGCATTACCTCTCTCCCAGCTCTTTGAACATTGATGCAGCCTTGAAACCAGATGCCGCCAAGTCTGAGCGCCATCAGCATGTCAGAACTCATGCACACCCAAACTAATCAGACTCCAACGTTACTCAAAGGAACCCAAAAAGTTACCTTTTCTGGAACCCCGGTTCATGAAATGGAACAACCCGAAACCCCAAGAACCAGACTCCACATTTGCCCAGAGGTCCCGGCATACCCCATAACACACCATCACTGGTGCCTGTGCCCGCGATAATCTTTGATGTCTTGGCTCGCCCTGGCTTCCAGAAGGTACCTCGTACGCCCGGAAAACTCAGAACG